GTTTTGCTTATTAATTCTTAATCTCAGTGTATGTAAATAAATTAAGTCCAAATATTGACATTTTAAAATAAAATTACATCTAAATATATAAGTGTAATATTTTATGTTATATGTAGTCGGCCGAGATTATTTCGAGAGTATCATGAACAGTACTTATGGAGGACTTAAAAGGAAAACAGAGTTACCATCCACATGGTTGGGTATAATTAATATAATCGTAGAATTGAATGAGTTTTTTTATCGACTTTTTATTTAGTAATTTTATTTAATTTTCTGTTTCTCCTCTAAAGTTACTATTTCTGCCAGGACTATCTAAGTCTTCTGGAAATAGTATCTAATTTTCTATTATCAATATCTAGTCTTTTGGAAACAGTATCTTGTACTCTGCTAGCAATATTGAGCCTTGCGGAGTAATATCTAGCATCTCTTGTCTTCTATTAAAAGTATGTAGTACTCCATTAGTACTATCTAGTTCTCTACAAGTAATATTTTATCTTCTGCAAGCTGTATCTAACGTTCCATTAACAATATCAAGTCTATTGGAAGCGGTATCTAGTCCTTTTATAGCATCATTCCGTCTTTTGACAGTAATAACCAGTTTTCTATAAGCAATATCTAGTCTTCTAGTAGTATCTAGTTTTTTTAAAACATTTAGCCAACACTACGTAGTATTATTAATACATATAAGCGGAATTGTCCTTAACGCATAACATACTATTTATCTTGGTAGCCAGCTCATTAATTTGTTCCAGAAAATATTTCAAATTAAGTTTATAGAAAAATTAAGAATTTATCAAAATTATATTATGAATGTTGTAATCTTGTTTTGCTTATTAATTCTTAATCTCAGTGTATGTAAATAAATGAAGTCAAAATATTGACATTTTAAAATAAAATTACATCTAAATATATAAGTGTAATATTTTATGTATTATGATACAAGCGGATTTATTTCGTTCATAATAAATTTACGGAACGTACGATACCAAAATAAAGATAAACAAGTTGAGTTGAAACGTGTTGTTAATTTGTTTTCCCGTAACTTCCTATAAATAACTTTAAAACTACCCAACCGATCTAAAATAGTTCTACTTCTTCGAACGTGGATTTTAAATCTTGCATGTATCGTTATAACTTTTATATGTTATGAAAGGAAATCGAATAAAAATTTCTTAAACTTTCCAAGATGATAAAATAAAATTAAAATAAAATGTTTTTTTTTTAATTAAATTGAATTTGTAATACAAATAAATGAATTTCGAATCGATGCTTCATATATATTTTTTATTCCATTAAATCAAAATAAATACACGGTACACTTATTGCAAATTTCAATTGAATTGAAATTTTGTGTTCATTTAATTCCGTATTTGTTTATGAAAAATAGACGTGATATTGTTTCGTTTTGTTTTTTTAAACGTTTTTATCAAGTATTAAACGGGTACAATTTGTCCTTCCAAATTTAAACACAAAACTGTGCTTTTATGGACCCCTTCTTTAACGTTAGCTTCAACCTTCCAATAATAACCATCGATGGGAAGTGTGGAAAATGCGTCACCATCAAAAGTTGCATTTTTGACTATATAAATTCCCTTTTTAATCGGACAACTCATTTGTGGGGTCATAATATCCATGAATGGTGTCCAAGGTTTATTTTTTGCTGGAATTAAATCACACATTTTCTTTATTGTTATTTTTTGATAATTTTCGCAAGTATCTGGAGAATCTTTTGTGTTACATCTCGTGAGTGTTAAATCTACTTTTAGGTCTGCCGGGATGGTTTGTTTCACTACGATTTTTGTTGATAAAACGTAAATTTTCTTTTGTTTTTGGAGGTGATTTTCCGTAAATTTTATTGGGGCGTTTGGATATTTTTGGCAATTTTGGAGTTTATCCAGTTTTACAACTTTTTTTCGCTTAAATGAAAAATAAATTTAAATAAAATTGATGTTTTTTCGTTTCACTTACAAACAGATTTAAAGTTTCCATCGTGATGATTAAAGAAAATAAAAAAATTATAACAAAAAATGTTTTCATTTTATTTTGAAATCCAATAAACATTTAAACTGAACGATTTTAATTAAAACAGGGCTTTTATAAACATCGTTTTAATTACAGGAAAACATTAAAACGAAACGATAAAATTTAATTTATAATATTTCCCGTCACAATTTCGATGCGAATTCCTCTAATTTTTCCCAAAGGTCGGGCTGAAAATACCCCATTCTTAAAGCGACTCCAACATCACCTTCAATCTTCACTCTTCCTGATAATAAAATTCTTTGTGGGTTTAAAATCCCCTTTAAAATTTCTTTGTAATCATCGTCTTTTACAATAAAAGTTACATCCGGTTTAACTAGAACCAAATTTTTGAATTAAAAAAATATTATTAATTTTCTTTATTACCATTAGAATTAAATTTGATGTTTCCTTTGGGATTTGAAACCAAATCCAAGGTAAACACTCCTTCGGACCCATCTCGACGAAGAAATTTAAACGCGAAAATGCCTTCAAAATCTTTATACACATTTGGATTTAAAACATTCAAGACTTCGTTTAATATCTTTACGTATGGAGATATTTTAAAATCGCCTTCTTTTAAATGTGTCTCGGACATTTTTTTTAAACACACTGATTAAATTGGAATTTAAAATTACGTATTTATTCTTGAACTTTAACATATACGATAACTTATCAAAAAAATGCAAGCTTATTTTTTTAAATACCTTTATTTTTATTATATAACAACATTACAAANACTATTTATCTTGGTAGCCAGCTAATTAATTTGTTCCAGAAAATATTTCAAATTAAGTATATAGAAAAATTAAGAATTTATCAAAATTATATTATGAATGTTGTAATCTTGTTTTGCTTATTAATTCTTAATCTCAGTGTATGTAAATAAATGAAGCCAAATCATTGACATTTTAAAATAAAATTACATCTAAATATATAAGTGTAATATTTTATGTATTATGTAGTCGGCCGAGATTATTTCGAGAGTATCACGAACAGTAATTATGGACTACTTAAAAGGAAAACAGATTTACCATCCACATGATTGGCTATAATTAATAAAATCGTAGAATAGAATGAGTTTTTTTATCGACTTTTTATTTACTGATTTTATTTAATTTTCTGTTTCTCCTCTAAAGTTACTATTTCTGCCAGTACTATCTAAGTCTTCTGGAAATAGTATCTAATTTTCTATTATTAATATCTAGTCTTTTGGAAACAGTATCTTGTACTCTGCTAGCAATATTGAGCCTTGCGGAGTAATATCTAGCATCTCTTGTCTTCTATTAAAAGCATGTAGTACTCTATTAGCACTATCTAGTCCTCTACACGTAATATTTTATCTTCTGCAAGCTGTATCTAACGTTCCATTAACAATATCATGTTTATTGGAAGCGGTATCTGGTCCTTTATAGCATCATTTAGTCTTCAGTTAACAGTGAATAACTGGTCTTTTGACAGTAATAACTAGTTTTCTATAAGCAATATCTAGTCTTTTAATAGTATCTAGTTTTTTGAAAACATTTACCCAGCACTACGTAGTATTATTAATACATATAAGCGGAATTGTCCTTAACGCATAACATACTATTTATCTTGGTAGCCAGCTCATTAATTTGTTCCAGAAAATATTTCAAATTAAGTTTATAGAAAAATTAAGAATTTATCAAAATTATATTATGAATGTTGTAATCTTGTTTTGCTTAATAATCCTTAATCTCAGTGTATGTAAATAAATGAATTCAAAATATTGACATTTTAAAATAAAACTACATCTAAATATATAAGTGTAATATTTTATGTATTATGTAGTCGGCCGAGATTATTTCGAGAGTATCACGAACAGTACTTATGGAGGACTTAAAAGGAAAACAGAGTTACCATCCACATGGTTGGGTATAATTAATATAATCGTAGAATGGAATGAGTTGTTTTATCGACTTTTTATATACTAATTTTATTTAATTTTTTGTTTCTCCTCTAAAGTTACTATTTCTGCCAGAACTATCTAAGTCTTCTGGAAATAGTATCTAATTTTCTATTATCAATATCTAGTCTTTTGGAAACAGTATCTTGAACTCTGCTAGCAATATTGAGCCTTGCGGAGTAATATCTAGCATCTCTTGTCTTCTATTAAAAGTATGTAGTACTCCATTAGTACTATCTAGTTCTCTACAAGTAATATTTTATCTTCTGCAAGCTGTATCTAACGTTCCATTAACAATATCAAGTCTATTGGAAGCGGTATCTAGTCCTTTTATAGCATCATTCCGTCTTTTGACAGTAATAACCAGTTTTCTATAAGCAATATCTAGTCTTCTAGTAGTATCTAGTTTTTTTAAAACATTTAGCCAACACTACGTAGTATTATTAATACATATAAGCGGAATTGTCCTTAACGCATAACATACTATTTATCTTGGTAGCCAGCTCATTAATTTGTTCCAGAAAATATTTCAAATTAAGTTTATAGAAAAATTAAGAATTTATCAAAATTATATTATGAATGTTGTAATCTTGTTTTGCTTATTAATTCTTAATCTCAGTGTATGTAAATAAATGAAGTCAAAATATTGACATTTTAAAATAAAATTACATCTAAATATATAAGTGTAATATTTTATGTATTATGATACAAGCGGATTTATTTCGTTCATAATAAATTTACGGAACGTACGATACCAAAATAAAGATAAACAAGTTGAGTTGAAACGTGTTGTTAATTTGTTTTCCCGTAACTTCCTATAAATAACTTTAAAACTACCCAACCGATCTAAAATAGTTCTACTTCTTCGAACGTGGATTTTAAATCTTGCATGTATCGTTATAACTTTTATATGTTATGAAAGGAAATCGAATAAAAATTTCTTAAACTTTCCAAGATGATAAAATAAAATTAAAATAAAATGTTTTTTTTTTAATTAAATTGAATTTGTAATACAAATAAATGAATTTCGAATCGATGCTTCATATATATTTTTTATTCCATTAAATCAAAATAAATACACGGTACACTTATTGCAAATTTCAATTGAATTGAAATTTTGTGTTCATTTAATTCCGTATTTGTTTATGAAAAATAGACGTGATATTGTTTCGTTTTGTTTTTTTAAACGTTTTTATCAAGTATTAAACGGGTACAATTTGTCCTTCCAAATTTAAACACAAAACTGTGCTTTTATGGACCCCTTCTTTAACGTTAGCTTCAACCTTCCAATAATAACCATCGATGGGAAGTGTGGAAAATGCGTCACCATCAAAAGTTGCATTTTTGACTATATAAATTCCCTTTTTAATCGGACAACTCATTTGTGGGGTCATAATATCCATGAATGGTGTCCAAGGTTTATTTTTTGCTGGAATTAAATCACACATTTTCTTTATTGTTATTTTTTGATAATTTTCGCAAGTATCTGGAGAATCTTTTGTGTTACATCTCGTGAGTGTTAAATCTACTTTTAGGTCTGCCGGGATGGTTTGTTTCACTACGATTTTTGTTGATAAAACGTAAATTTTCTTTTGTTTTTGGAGGTGATTTTCCGTAAATTTTATTGGGGCGTTTGGATATTTTTGGCAATTTTGGAGTTTATCCAGTTTTACAACTTTTTTTCGCTTAAATGAAAAATAAATTTAAATAAAATTGATGTTTTTTCGTTTCACTTACAAACAGATTTAAAGTTTCCATCGTGATGATTAAAGAAAATAAAAAAATTATAACAAAAAATGTTTTCATTTTATTTTGAAATCCAATAAACATTTAAACTGAACGATTTTAATTAAAACAGGGCTTTTATAAACATCGTTTTAATTACAGGAAAACATTAAAACGAAACGATAAAATTTAATTTATAATATTTCCCGTCACAATTTCGATGCGAATTCCTCTAATTTTTCCCAAAGGTCGGGCTGAAAATACCCCATTCTTAAAGCGACTCCAACATCACCTTCAATCTTCACTCTTCCTGATAATAAAATTCTTTGTGGGTTTAAAATCCCCTTTAAAATTTCTTTGTAATCATCGTCTTTTACAATAAAAGTTACATCCGGTTTAACTAGAACCAAATTTTTGAATTAAAAAAATATTATTAATTTTCTTTATTACCATTAGAATTAAATTTGATGTTTCCTTTGGGATTTGAAACCAAATCCAAGGTAAACACTCCTTCGGACCCATCTCGACGAAGAAATTTAAACGCGAAAATGCCTTCAAAATCTTTATACACATTTGGATTTAAAACATTCAAGACTTCGTTTAATATCTTTACGTATGGAGATATTTTAAAATCGCCTTCTTTTAAATGTGTCTCGGACATTTTTTTTAAACACACTGATTAAATTGGAATTTAAAATTACGTATTTATTCTTGAACTTTAACATATACGATAACTTATCAAAAAAATGCAAGCTTATTTTTTTAAATACCTTTATTTTTATTATATAACAACATTACAAAAATAACCCAGATATGTCTTAAAAAGAAAACAAACAAAACAAACATGTTAAAAAAAAATTTTACAATTTCGATTTGATCGCTTCAAGTTTTTCTTTGATGACTGGTTGAAGTTGAGTCAATTTCATTGCAACACCCATATTTCCTTGCACTTTAATCTTTCCAGAGAAGAAAGCTTTTTGCGGGTTAATTCCACCTCGGATAATTTCAAGAATATCATCATCGTTAACAATGAACGTTACATCGGGTTTTGCTACAATTAAAAAAATAATATTAAAAAAAATAATAGAAAAAATTAATACAACTTACTTGTAGAATTAAATTCAATTTGTCCTTTTTGTCCTTTAAGATTAATAACCCAATATCCTTCGAGTCCATCAGATTTTTTAATTTTAAGTCCATAACTGCCTCTAAATTTGTCAATAAGATTATCACTTCCGGCATCGAAAATACCATCTAATTGGAGTAATTGATGTGCGATCCTTAATAATGGAGCAATTTTGAATCCATCATCTGTGGTGGCGGCTGCGGTTCTGCGAGTTGAAATGGTTCTATTTAAATGTTCTGGGAATCCATGTCTGTAAATGCCAACGACGACAGCTCCGCCGATCCCAAGGTTGTGTTGTAAAGCAAGTTTAGCACCTGGGACTTGTCTTTTGTCGGCTAATCCACGTAATTGCCAACATAATTCGGCGCATTGTGCCAAACCGGTTGCGCCTAATGGATGTCCTTTGGAAATTAATCCACCACTTGGATTTACGACGTATTTTCCTCCATAAGTGTTGTCTCCGCGATCGATCATTTCTCCAGCTTTTCCTGGGGGACACAATCCTAACGCTTCGTAAGTAATTAATTCGTTGGCAGAGAAACAATCGTGAAGTTCAACAACTTGGACATCAGTCGGGCGGATTCCGGATTTTGCGTACGCTTTTTCAGCCGCCGTTTTGGTCATATCATAACCGACAATTTTCATCAAACTGTTATCGGTAAGTGTTGTTTCTAAATCGGTAGCCATTTCCATGGCTACAATTTCAACAGCTTGGGCTTCAAGACCATGCTTTTTAACGAAAGCTTCTGAAGCCAAAATAGCACAAGCCGATCCATCACTAGTTGGGCAACATTGCAATTTAGTCAACAGACCAAAAACTTTCGGAGAAGCCATAATTTGTTCGAGAGTATATTCATCTTGGAATTGAGAGTAAGGATTGTTTACGGAATGTTTATGATTTTTATAACCAATTTTAGCGAAATGTTCCAATGTGGTGCCGTATTTCTTCATATGTTCAACTCCAGCATTTCCAAACATTTGGGCCGCTGGTGGAGATTTATTTATTCCGGCCAAATCGATCATTAAAGACATGTGTTTGTCCATTGGATTGGTCCTATCCATAAACTATTAAAAAATGATTATAATATAAATTATTAAAAATTTAAGCTATAACATACTTTAGGAGCTAAACTTCCACGTTCCATTTTTTCGAAACCAACAGCTAAAACACATTGATTTTGACCAAATTCGATGAATTGTTTCGCCAAAAGCAATGCCGTTGCGCCAGTTGCGCAATTGTTATTCACGTTGTAAATTGGAATTCCAGTCATTCCAATTTCGTAAATTGCACGTTGGCCACATGTTGAATCACCTTTAATGCAAAAAAAAAATTATTATAATCAATGGACGAAAAGAAGACGTTCGCTAAGTATCACGAACAATACTTAACGCCGGCCGAAATTATTTCTTTTAATATAAAAAATAATCTCGGCCGACTTCGAAGACGTCGGCCGCCCCAAGTATCTCAAACTATACATAAGCCACCAATTTCTTAGACTTCGGCCATCTGAAGTATCCCAAACAATACTTATCGCGGCCCACGTCTTCGAAGTCAGCCGAAATTTTTTTTTTTGGTATAAGAAATATTCTTCCATATAATACGAACAATACGTATGGCGGCCGACGTCTTCGAAGTCGGCCGAGATTATTTCTTTTCATATGAGAAATAATCTCGGTCGACTTCGAAAACTTCGCCCGTCCCAAGTATCCCGAACAATACTTATGGCAGCCAACTTCTTAGACTTTGGCCATCTCAAGTATCCCAAACAATACTTATCGCGGCCGACATCTTCGAAGTCGGCCGAAATTATTTCTTTTCATACAAGAAATAATCTCGGTCGACTGCGAAGACGTCGGCCGCCCCAAGTATCCCAAACAATACACAGGCAGCCAACTTCGAAGACTTCGCCCGCCCCAAGTATCCCAAAAAATACTTATGGCGGCCAACGTCTTGGAAGTCGCGCCAGACTATTTCTTTTGGTATAAGAGGGTGGGAAATCTTAATTAATATTATCAGAAACTATACCATTATATAATACTATACAAATTTCTGAATAATATATTTTCAAAAATAAGCATACCATAGACATAACCAGCTGTGGCTTGTTCAATATCGGTCATCTTGACTTTAGCATCATCGAGAGCTTTGAGGATGGCCTCTTTGGCATACCCGGGATAATCATCATCTCTTTTTCCAGGTTTTTCGAACTAAAATTAGATGAAGTAAGAAAATTATTTTAATGGACATACTTGAAAAAAAAAATTCAACTTACTTTGGTCATTCCAACCCCAATAACAAAGACACGTCCCATTTTGTTAATGTTGTTTGTACGATACAACAGCACCGAAAGTTGGAAATAAAGTAAAGTACGTAAACTTACAGATTATTTAATATATAACCGGGGAGCGAAAAACTGCAAGTAATTCTGGTATCTCTGAGGACTTTGATATGATACCTCTTACGACAAAATCAAATTAAAACAGTGAATATTAAAATGTCGGGGTAATTACTCCTTATTTTTTGGTTATAAATCTAATTTATTGCATACTAAAACCACGGGAAACTTTGTTTATAAATCACCTAACCTCAAAGTTCACCTACACATTAAAATGTCGGTGACGTACACATTTTTTTCGAGAACCTTTTCGCTACCGCTGGATACCGCTGGAATAATTTATCCAGAGAAGTCAACAAGGTCATGCTATTGTAAAACATTTTTTGATAAGATGTTTATGAACAATTAATGTTTTTGCATTTTTTCTTACAATTAATGGAAAATACAAAATTGCATTGTCTATATCACCATATAATTAATTTAAGGTTCAATAAAAACCCAAATATACTGAAATACATTTTCTTTTTATTATTTATAAGAAAAATATATACATATACAAAAAAACTTGGATACTCGTTATTGCGTAAAAGTGATGAATTAATGTAAAAAGTAAATAAAAAGAAAATTGGGAACTAAATACTTAAAAAAAAATTTTTGTTTAATTTTTTTATAAATAAAAATCATTTCTCTATAAAAATATTAATATCAATATTACGTCCGGATGGTTTAGCCCGACATCTGGCAGTTGACCTTTTATTCATTATTTTCCAATATTAATTGAATTATTTTATTTTCTTGATGTTTCAATTTGGCACGCGTTTAGCCGAAGGTCCAAACCCTGAGAATTCCACTTAAAATATATCCTCTATTTTAAGCTGATCATCATGACCCTTGAAGTATATTCTTCAAATCATCTGGTAAAGAAGTAATTATATCTTGTAATCGTTGACATAATTGTTCTTTCGTTGATGTGCTAACTGGAAAGTCATGTTGCCTACATTTATTGATTTTATTGCGCAATTTTAAAACCATATCAACTATTTCTACCTCCGGTTTCCCTTGCACCCACAATTTTAAGTCCTAATTATACAAGAAAATCTTAATACAATCGAATTTTTGTTTAATAAACTTACAGCGTCCGATAAAGCTTCTAATTGTAAAGCTTGCAACTTTAATACTAATTCCGTGTATCTCATATTAAACCATCCATCAAAATTGGGAGATCGAAAAAATTTTTTATACAAACCAACCCAATCTCCTTTAATTCCCGATGTTAATTGAGGCCCTGTTGTTTCTAATGTAGCGAAAAAATCATCGGGGTTAAACGGATATGGTGTAGGTGCAGCCTAAAAACAAATAAAAATATATACTCATTTCAAATGATTACAAAAAGTTAAAAATTATTTTACCTTAAACGGAGAGATATTTTTAAATAAAGGCATTAAACTAGCAATATACCTCTCAAGTGGAATCATAAAGCTTTGTGTCAATTCTAATAAATGCCTTCTTAACAATGCAGATTGTACTTCCGACGGCCGCTTTGAATGTATACCAGATATTAAGTTTTTTATTATTGATTTATCTTTTTGTAAAAATGGTTTATATGTTGTATAAACGCCCGGACTTGAATCTAAGATTTTCGTTGACCCATTCCTCTTTAATTTATATTTTTGATATTGACCTATAACTCAACATAATTAAACAACAATATAAACAGTGGAACATAATTATTCTAGGATATAAAAAAATACAAATCTTATCGTTTTTATGTGGTGTAATTGATTTTAGAGTCGATATGATAAATCAATACTTCGATATGTATTCTCAAAAAGATTTCAAGTTTAATCAGAAGGGAACATATCGTTTTTACTTTTCGTTTATTTTTTTGAAATTTTTTTCAAACCAAATGAACTTTTCACCACATATTTATTCACATTTTGAGCACACTTTACGTTCATTGTACACGGCTAAAAACTCATTTTCAAAAAATGAAACCAAATAGCATTGTAATCTGTACTACATTTTGAACTGGGATTATTAAAAAATATTGGAAGATAAACTTTTGGCATCGTGTTGAAAATTTTTTCGTGAATTCTAGTGCTTTTTACGCGAAAAAAAACGGCTTTACGAATCAGAATTATCCCAGTTTGTGAAGTGCCTACATGAGTACTGAATAAATCGTTCACATTTGCAACGAATTCACCGTTTTTGAATACAATGTTGAGAATCTCATCGGGTATGTTTAACGCTGTAATTTCCTAACAATTCCGAGTATCGGAAAATCACTTTACCCACACACCCTCCACTACAATTGGATGTAATTTTTATAGGAAAAAAAATCATTCATGGATGTGAATTAATTTGATTGTGAATTCGAGTCACACTTGATTTTATTAGAACAACCTTCATACTACTTGTGAGATTTTGCAAATGACTCTAAGAAACGCTGGGAGCAGAGTGAAAGTTGCAGTAGAACTATCTCAATTGTTTGATTGAAACAAGGCAGGACAACAAGAAGGGGCGTCCTTCTTATGTACTTTTTAATTTGACACTGGAGAGAGTAGCTAAAAAGAGACGTGGGTGATAACAGTGAGAGAACGGTAACTCCTCAACTCGTGAGAGCGAAAGGTACTTCATCGTATACACGGTCCCATCTGTTTCACTTCCTAATTATAGTCTTTTGCGAAATGATAGTCTTTCGCGGGGTGGGGGAGTGGCTTTATTTATCAGAGATACCCTGAGTGCTACGATTGTCGAATCCTCCGATGGGTCAGTTCAGGGGGCTGAATTTATGCTTGTGGAACTGAAAAGTTCCTACAACAAGTTATTACTTGGCGTTTTTTACTGTCCTCCTCTTGTTAACTACTTTGATCAATTGGAGGAAACTCTTGAGAGGCACTCTTTTAATTATAACACTATTCTTCTGATGGGAGATTTCAATACTTGTTTGCTAAAAAATGACTTACGGAGTGACAAACTTCGCTTCATTACTTCCTCATTAAATTTGACCATCCTGCCCTCACAACCAACTCATCATCTTCCAACTTCGCATTCGCTTCTGGATCTTACTATTACGACTCGTCCGAGCAGCATACTTATGCATGGTCAGCTCCCTGCTCCTCAATTTTCCAATCACGATTTAATTTACTGTGCAGTGCAGATACGACAACATATTTTCTCGCAACGCATTATTTCCGTTCGTGATCTGGGTCGTATTGATAACGATTTGCTGTTGTCTGATGCGCAGAGGATCGATTGGCTCCCGCTTTATCGAATGGCCGATATTGATGGCAAGGTTGACTACTTCAACTCTAAACTTATCAATCTCTATGACAAGCATGCCCCACTCAGACGACGTAGGGTGAGACATCCGCCCGCACCCTGGTTAAGTGATGAGATAAGATCACTGATGAGGGAGCGTAATCGTGCAAAGCTATTATTTAAACGTATTCCAAATACTATTAATCGTGAAAACTATAGGATCTTGCGTAACCGTTGCAATCACCAATGTAGAAATGCCAAAAAATTGTATTTCTACCGGAGACTATCCAATGCTAATCCGAGGACGTTTTGGAGGTTGATGCGTTCCTTAGGGGCGGTTGAGTCTCCCTCTGTTCGGGCTGCTTGTGATGTGGATTCATTGGCGAGGTTTTTTGCTGACCCTCCTCTGCTCATTAGTGGTGGGACTAGGATGACAACTATTTCTGAAATTCTTGCCTCATCTAAATCCTCCTCTTTCTCCTTTGTCCTGGTCACAGCGTCAGAAGTCCGCGATGCCTTGAATCACTCGAGGTCTACGAGTGTGGGAGCTGATGGAGTTGGTCTCAAACTTCTTCTTCCTATATTGGATATTGTTCTTACTCCTATTACCCACATTTTTAACTTCTCCATTGAACGATCCTCATTCCCTTCAATCTGGAAGGTTGCTCATGTTGTCCCTATACCTAAATCCAAGAGTCCCTCAAGTTTAAATGATTTTCGCCCTATCTCCATTTTATCTGTTCTATCTAAAGCTCTCGAGCGCCTTGTTTATCTACAAGTTCAAGAGTATTTACAAGAATTTAACTTGCACAACGACTTTCAATCGGGTTTTCGTAAGGGTCATAGCACGACAACAGCGCTTATTAAGATTACAGATGATATTAGGTATGCTTGCGACAAACGTTGTGTTACCATCCTTGTATTACTTGATTTCAGCAAGGCGTTCGATTCGGTTGATCACGATCTTTTGTTGGCGTCACTAGCTGCCCTTGGATTTACCTCTTCATGTTTATCTTGGTTTCAATCTTACTTTTCCTGTCGTTCCTTGTGTGTGCGTGCTGATTCTGCGCTCTCGTCTGCTTGTGATATTAAATGTGGTGTACCCCAGGGTAGTGTGTTGGGTCCGTTGCTCTTTTCGATTTTTATTAATGCCGTCACCCACTGTATTTCTTGTAATTATCATGTGTATGCTGATGACCTCCAAATTTACACTACGACAACTATTGATGATTTTCCGGAAGCAATTGCACGTCTTAATCATGACCTTTCCAATATTTTGGATTGGTCCAAACGTTATGGCCTTAAATTAAATACTGCTAAAACTCAAGCAATTGCGTTTGGCAGTCGACCTTTACTGGCAAAGCTGAATAATTTTTCATCCATTCACTTAATGCTTGACGGAGACATTATTCAGCTGTCAGACACGGTTAGAAACCTTGGGGTGGTTATGGATTCTACAATGTCCTGGAAACCTCAAATTCAATCCGTCTGCAGAAAGGTCTATCATTGTTTCCACTCACTGAAAAGTCTCCGTTGCTTCCTTCCTCCCATGATCCGTCGTAATCTTTGTTTTTCCCTGATTTTCCCCCATATTGATTATGCTGACACGGCATATCCTGATCTTTCGGTAACACTACGAAACAAACTGCAAAGACTTCAAAACAACTGCATACGGTATATCTTTGATCTCGAGAGATCTCAACACATAACCCCATACCGTAATTATTTGCAGATATTAAGCTGTCAGAACCGTAGATCGTTTCGTATATTAACTATGTTATATACTGTTCTTCACAATCAAACCCAATGATTATGCACTAAGTTAAATGTATACATTTAACTTGTATAAATTTATAAACTTGTATAATTAAATGTATACATTTTCTTTAATTTGTATTTTTTGTTTCTTATTATGGCAATAAATTTATTTATTATTATTATTATCTGTGAGAAAGACGAATAGGGGATACGCACCAAAGCGAGCTATACCAGCTATACGAAGAGCCAACACTTGTTAGAGAGATTAAAAGTATCCGAATTAGATAGTTAATCCATCTGGAACGCTAAAGAGCAAAGATGCCGTCGAAGTAACCTCGGCCGATTTCGAAGACGTCAGCCGCTCCAAGTATCACGAACATTAAGACCACGAGAAACCTGAAACACTATCTGCCACTTGTCTTATGATTATAACTGATTATAACCATTGGAAACGCCCAACATCTTCGAAGTTAACCTTGCTTGCTTTTTCCATTTGTTTTAAGGGGGTATGCCACCTTTGAAATGAAAAAAAATCGTTTTTTTTTTGCTTAAAAGTGTTCTTTATACTGTCTAGAATGAGAATCCATTGACAGAAAATATTTGCGGAATGTTTTTCTGCCTAAAAAATTGATTTTTGTAACACACCTCACCGGAAATTCTAAGATTTCTGTAACCACTCTTTGTTTCATTTTTTATCCATTGTATATGCACGTATTTTCACCTTGTTGTACAAAAAAGTTAAAAAAAAACATAAAATATCATTTTTCAAAAACGCTATTGAAGTAGGCTTTCGGGTACCTGAATAAACAATAGCATCACAAAAACTCATTTTCGTAGAAAACTTTACCCGACTTCTATCGACCAAAGGGGTAATTCCAAATATAAAGTAAAAAATTTGTAAAAAGTGTAGTTACTGGAAAGGTAAAGAAGATACTGCGGAATTTTAAGATTGGGTCGAAGATCATAAAGAAATATGTGATATAAACCATATCGGATCTTCAGGAAAAATGGAAGTGGACTCCGTCGTAGAGATGTTTCAACGATCCGAAGAAAAACATAATTTGAAGTACTGTTTTTACGTAGGAGACGGAGACAGCAAAACCTTCAAAGGTATTATGGGCGCTCGCTATGACAGTGCAATAGTAACCAAAAAAGAATGCGTCGATCACGTTCAGAAACGAATGGGCACACGGTTACGAAATCTAAAAAGAAACATGATGAACTTTCCTTATATTATGGATTGGCTATTCGCAGAAATTGCGATTCCGTGAAGGACAATGAGATCTGGGCTACTTTGTATCATAAAATTTCAACAGATGAAACTCCAAAGCATGACAATGGTCCAGTTGGTGCTGACTGGAAAAAAGCGTACGCTTAGTCAGAAATCGATGAGTACACTCACAAGCCAGCAATCGGCAATGATGTTTTCCACGCAGTGAAACCTGTGTACGAAGAACTATGAAGGGAAGATCTTTCGACAAGATGTTTAGGGGGATATACGCAAAAAAAACAATGACAGTTACAACGCCGCGTTATGGTCTATCGCACCAAAAACTATTCATAGTGGCAAGAAAGTGGTTGACATTGCGTCTGATATAGCTGCTTGCAATTTTAATGACGGTCTTACAAGCATTATGGAAATAATGCAAGTACTGAAATTAA